TTACATTATCTGTGTGTTTTAGATAAAGCTAGGTAGAAAATAGATCCTGTCCAGCAGAAATGACTGTGAGGTACAGCTTACTTCATTAGTGATGCAGACTGTGTCAAATGTAATGACGGGAAGAATTACATTATTTTCAAAATTCTAGTCTAGACCTGACCAAGATAAATTGTCCAAAGTCATTTGTTCAACTTTTGAATAAAAAATAAAATTGTTGCTGTGCCACTCTGATCTGCACAATAAGTAAATAAAAATAAAACAGAAATAGTTTTACCACGACTGCATCTCAGAAAAGTTATTATTTTTTACACCAACTTGAAGACAGACTTTATGGAAAGCTGTTTCTATTCTAACTGAAGAAGCCAATTAGCATCCTGACACCTGGTCTGACACCTTCACTGCTGGATTCTGCACTCTCTCTCTGTTGTATTTGTGGGTTAAATTTAAGCCATGTGAGCTGGAGGTGAGTATCACACGGCAACTTAACAGCTCCATGTTGGTGAATATTGATACTGCTGTTTTAATTAACAGCATCACCCTCCACGGGGCTGCAGCTTAGCTCCTTAGTTTTAATTTAAATGACCACAAATAGAGACTGGAGGCTCACAACAGCACGAGGTGTCATGGAGCTCATTTACTCTGTGTCCCTCCCTCATGGCCCATAGCACAGTAACGTGGTGCTGGTTCCACTGAGCTTTAACCTTAGCATTTAGAGCGAAGGCTCCATTTACTTTGTTTTCAGATCCAAAGATCCATCCTGGTGTTATGGAGCCCTAATTCCCAACACAGAGAAGTAGAAGCTGGTGCCACGAACTAAGACAGTTCTCGGATTCTTAATACCCACTCAGTAGCAACCACGGCTATGAATGGGAAGCTACATTTGAACTTATTCCTAAGAAAAATCCCTTTTCAAACATACACCCTTGTTTCTTTTCACCAGTGCATTTTGGGTCTTAGTAAACAACTGCAGGAGCCCCGTGCTGCCAAAACCCAAACCCCCAAACTTGTCATGAAGTCAGAACAACCAGCTGGAGTCAAAGTTCTCCTTCATCAGCACTTTGTCCAAAACTTGTAGCACCGAGGCTAAGTTTATTCCACACACTTTCCCTCTCGTCATGTTTCCTCAGTCGTCTGTGTTTAAACCAATAGCCGCCAATCTCAGCCACCTCAGGATCATTACCGTCTCTTTGGATTTTGATCTCCTCCGGCCGACCTGCTGTTCTCTCCTCTCCCTGCGTCTTCATTTCTCTCTTTGTGAAAGTATACTCAACTCCTTAAGCTATTGATTTATGATTTTTCCCTAAGTCTTCGTATCTTTCTCCAGCCATGCACTGCTGATTGTTTCTTGATGAAGCTGGAGCTGTGCAGCCACCTGGTTCTCCTGGGGTCTATTCAAAAAATCAAAGTTGAGCGTGCACACAGGTTTACTGACTCTGAGAGGTCACAGATGAACAGTGATTTGTTGTAGATGAGATATAGCATTTTATTTTTAACATTTTACCAGAATTTGATACACACATGTGTGTATATATATATATATAGGTGTGTCCATAAATGTGTGTATAAATGTATATATGTATGCGCACATATTTATATTTACTGTTGTTATGTTTGTGTACATATATGTTTATGTACACATGCAGTGTATAACTAAATATTTAAATACTAAAAATATATAAATGACCAGACAATCTAGAAAACAACATGACATACTGTATGTTTATGAAGGAAGTCATTTTGTAATTTAAGTAAATTAGTTCTCTGCTCTCTTCACTACTGGAAGATGTATTTTACTTTGACTCAGTGACTCAGTCATTCTTCTTAGAAAACATGATTGCTGAGGTGAGTTGTCCATTTTTGGAGCGGTGGAGTGGTTTTAGTATATTTTATTCATTCACAGAGTCTCGAGTCAAAACTGACAAATGAAGCAGGTCGTGGATGTGGAGTGAAACTCCGGTCAGTGCGAGAACACGGCGCTCCAGAGGATTGAAGCCATGAACAGGAAGGGCCAAGAAGATGCTTCACAGTCATGACTTTGTACATTATTTACAAGTCTGGTTTAATGTAACTGTTCTCAGGGCTCAAGTTGAACTCTGGGCAGCTGCTGCCACTGTGGTAGCAACCTGATGCACTTAGATGGCACATGCATTACTGTGCTTTAGGTTTTAGGCACTTAGTTTGAAGGACTCTGCACAGCTGTTTTTGTTTCACTGAACATGTGTGTTTCCACCTACACAGTTACATAATGTTATAAAAGTTCATGTAATTCTGCAAAATCTATGGCTTTTAATTGACCTCTGAGAATTGTTGCACCAAACAGTGAGTCAGTGGACTAATTTTGCCCCCACATCTGTGTCCTTCTGTATCCAGTGAGGGTCGTGTGGAGGTGATGGGAGGAGGCGTTCTGCAGATCACCAATCTCTCACAGAAGGATGCTGGAGTCTACACCTGCGTAGCAGAGAACCCCAACGGAACTATCGAAGCCCAGGCCCAGCTCACAGTTCAAGGTAAGGTTGTCCACCAGCTCCATCTGCCTTAGGCTGTAGGTTCAGAAGCACAAAGTATAACAAATTCGACAAACACAAAACAACTCTCACAGCGCCCCCTTCTCTCCCTCCACCTCGTTTGTGTTTGTAAATGAGCCTGATAAATGCTTTGACAGCCAATGGCCCACTCTGGAAACAAAGCGTCTGTCTGTTTAGCTTTTCGTGAACAAGATTTATTTCTCATGTGCAATGTGTGCATAGGAACTCAATGAGGCTGAGAGCCAGTCTTACTGAAAATATAGACTGTGCATGAAGTCAGCAGTTGAGTAGGCAGCAGATAAAGAGTTTAACCTCTGGATCTGCTACATCACATTACTCTACGAGTTAGAAGAACGAAAAAAAAAAGAACCTACACTGTGACCAAGACTCTAAGGAATAAAAACATAGGAGCATAATAGATCATAGGGAAGGGGACAAGCGGAGATACTGTACAGACTGCAGTACACAAGACCCGCTCATAAAGGTAGATGTCACACATATTAACTTCCTGTAGATATTCCTGTAAGGAGAGATCAAATATCCTTTGTAAATAGAATTCAGACCAAACATTGCAGCAGTTGGGGATATTTTATTAAAATATTGTATTGCTATCAAGGTGTATATCTGGTGTAAAACTGTGCTATAAACATAAAAAAAAGCAGTAAAAATTCAGTCTGAGTCCTGGGACCAATGTCAGGATTACATTAAAAGTTTTCATCACTGACTAAAGAGCTGACGAGGCCACTTTAATCTTTTAACAGCATAGATCTGCCACTAAATGCGTTGAAGGTAATGTTATTAATTTCATAATTCACTGAAAGTGGCGTCTTGTTTCTTGCGTGTGTGTGTGTTGTTGTTGTTGTGCACTTGCACACCACTGTTGTGGTCGCGTCTGCATCTTTCCCTCCACAAATGAGCACCAGATGCGTCACAAACCCTTCAAGTTATCTGCAGGCCATATTAAATCCCTGGCTGCCTCCCCTGCATCCTTCTCTAAACACAAACGGTCCAGAGTTTATGAAAAGCCACCGACTGTAAACGGACAATTTCTCCTTCTGACTGCTGCAGGAGGCTCAGAGGTCTTTTAGAAGGAGAGTCTGCCTTATGAAAAAATGTTTTGTTGTGAGTATAGATTCAAACCACATTGATCTGTTTGAGTGTCTTTTACAACTATAACTAGTTCTGGAGGGTTGAACTTTAAAGTGTTACTCCTGTCGTCAGGGGAACGAATCAATGACACAATCTTTTTTTGACAGAAATCCAGATAAATCAAAATCAATTAGGTCCACATGTCTGCAGAATAGGAACTAAGTGAAGGATTGAATTATGGTGCAGTGAGTGACATGTTTTGATCAAACCTCCACAGCCCTGAAGAGAGGACAGACTGTTCAGGGTCAGGTTAGTGACATCAGGGCATTTCAGGTAGAAATCGAAAATTTTTGAGTACTGGAAAAGAGCAAAGACACGTGTCCTCCTCTGACCACGTCCTATTTTTCATTACTGTCGGCTTTAATCCCGCTAAGCGATGGACAGGGATGAAAGGGTGGTGGAGGGGCCATGAAGGGACTTTGCAAGGCTGGTATGGAGTCATAGAGGAGGATTTATTTGTGAAATGCAGTAGAGTTACAGATGCACCTCAGGCTGTTGAAGAATTCTGAAGATATTTATAATAACAGTACTGTTCCTTCATGTGGCTCCACCTGAGAACCGCACAGAAATGCTCATGAAGCGTCTGTGGTCATGTGTTTTTATCTCTTCTCACGTAACAATTTAATGAAATAGTTGTTGGTTGATCTGATTCTAATTTGAGATTTTAGTAAATACCGTGTTGGTTCAGAAAGTGGTTAAGAATTGGAAATTATATATTTTTTAATTAAATATGCAATTAGAATAATTGGTGACAAGTTACTACATGTTTCACATAGTGAAGTAATTATGGTTGGGTCATACAGTGGTTTGAGTGGGAGAGGGCTTCATTTACACTCTTGACTGACCATAGATGTGAATGTCTGATGTAAGATGATTATATTCTGCAGGACGTAGTACTACTGCATATCTCCAATACCATCCGTTTATTAGTTTTCGCTTAGAGTAACAACCAACAGGAAAGGCTGCACGGTGACCCACAGAGTTCTCCACTTCAATAATCTGCTCATCAGTGTTGCCTGAGGACTGTGTCATTAAAATGTGTGATAAATAGGTTTGGACAATTTTGACATGTTTCAGCTCCTGTCAGCACATTAGGGTGTGGTGTGGTGTGGTGTGGTGCACACACTGTCAGAGCGAATGATCTTGACATTTGAGATAATTGATAGAATGAAACCACATGTTTGGTATGGGGCTGCCAGATTTCCCAAAAATCAGATATGGTCTAAAATATTCTCAGATAAAGCCTGTGGTGTGTTCAAGCACAAACACACACACACGTCTTGTGTAAAATTAATTTTACACATGAAACAACCAACACAGAAAAGACAAATGTCTTCTCTGTACATTTGAACGGCTTCAGAAGACACACCACCACTGAGTGTCGATAAATAGTGATTCAGGATCAGTGTTATTTATTATCTTAACCTAAAGTGCCAGTGACCTAACTAGGTTTTAGATCTATATTTTCTAAAACACAGAGAGGGACTTCTGCTACTGTAGATCCAGAGCCGGTCGTTGATGAATGGCTGTCTGTGAACATCAGCGTTCGGAGTAATGATTAGCTCATCCATCTACTCACTTCTGCAGAAGAGGCTTCAGCTCCAGACGCACAGTTAATCACCGAGTGTCAACACACTTTTGCATGTGTTTGTGTGAGGAGTGTGTGACCGTGTGCACGCTCTTCTGAGACTTGGCTGTGACATCTCACCCTCCATTAAAACTGCCACAGAGTTCAAACAGAGCCAGACGACGCAGTGGCTCTTGATTACGGCCTTTCATGACCGGGGGGAGGGGGGCAACACCCAGACCCGGACTCTGAGTGTGTGTGTAAAACAGAAATAGTTTCTTCACACACCTATATGTTTCCAGTTTTATGGGCCTCTGACTCAGGGCCCTCATCTATCATGGCCCCGTGTATCATGTCATCAACTTAATTGTTCTTTCCATCTGCTGCACTCGCATGCAGGAAATCCATGCCCCTTGTAAAACTAACAGGCCTCTCCCATGGGCTGGGATTCACAGCCACAGACAGCGAGGCTCTTTAACCTTCCTATATAAATAAACAAAAATAGAAAGAAAATGGACAAAAAAAACAGCTCGTTTCAGCCAAACTCTGTCTCTTAGAAGAAGCAGGTGACTGCAACTTGAAAACGTCAGCTAACGAGCACTGCAATTATCAGGAGAACAGGCGGCAGTTTTCTTTGTTTCCGCTGTGCTCACATTTTTCCATCAGTGACAGAAGTAATACGTCTGACATCACACAGCTCAGAGGAACACAACTTATATTATCTTATGGATGTGTCTGTCTGGTTCTCCTCTCCATTTTCCTGTCCTCTGTCTGTCGGTCGACAAAAACAAAAGTTTCAAAGTTTAAAAAAAGCAGTCATCCGATAGGGAGCAGCAACCCCCCCCCGAAATTATCCAAGAGATATATATATATGTATATATATATATAAACACTTGTTCAGTTCTACAGACATTGCCTTACAGTAAATGAGTGTGAGAGATGATGTTTATTCTATTATTGTTAACTAGAGATATATATATATGAGTTAAATATTAGAGCATTAGTTAAATATATCCATGATCAGTCATAGTAGTTCATAGTAAAGGCAGGTCGTCTTCCTTCAGTTCATTCCCAGGCTGCACTGATGCCTAAATCTTTGGGTCTGTCATCAGGTACAGACTGTCTTAATTCCTAATCCTATAGATTTAACAAACAATGTTGGAAGTTAACATGAACAACCAGTGAATTGAAATCTAATAAATTCTGAGTTCTTCAACCTCACTGTTGTGGTAAAGTAACCCATTCAGCCTGTTTGTGGTTTGTGACGTGGCACATTTCCCTGCTGCCCAAAGTGTTTTTAACAGCTCTTGAACCATAAAGACAGTGGAGTTAATCCATGTGTATTCGATCCTTACCACCATGTAGTTCACACCTTTATCTGAATTTAGAATCCAAGTGTTGGAGCAGAACAAAGGTTTAAATGCTTAAACATATATCATCAAGAAAAGTTTTGTGAGCTACTTAAATATTTAAATGTTAATGTAAACGTTAGTCTGGCCATGTTCTGATCTGAGTACTTTTGCAGTAAGAAAACCTGAAGTTGCCAGTAGTTGACTGATGTCCTGAGTGTATATGGGTTTTTGCCTGCCTTGTTTTTCTTAGGATAAGTAGGAGCGATCTGTTATTTAGCTCCAAGATTACTTTGTTAAAAATGCAGACTCAGTGACACAGGAGACGACTACACACTCCTCTTAATCTCTCCACCAGACCAGTCCATAAGGTTTGTTTTGGCTTCAGTCGACCAACTCTGGTCTCTTTTCACTCACTTTCAGTGATTTTTACAGCCATTAAACCTCCCTCCCACCTCAATGATTCTGCCTCTAGCCGACATTATTTTCTGCTCAATGATGAGCAAGCAACCACAGAGCCTCTCTCTCCTCTTGCATTTTGGCAGGATTAAGAGAAAGCTGTTATCTTTGGGAGGGCAGAATGGGTAATTAGTGCAGTCAGGACTGAGTCCACTCGCCTTCAGAGTAAACTCTAACTGCCTGAGAGCTATTGTTTGCCAAGCATGTCAAGAAAATGTTTGGTATATTTCTTCCGTTAGCTACAACAAGCCTACAGTTTGTCTCAATAGATGTGTTTCGCAGCCAAAGTGTCGGTTTGTACTGAGATGTTCACTTCACTCCACGGCTCAGCCCTGCAAACCAAGAACGTGCCGACTGCAAAAGGTTCCTTTCTTTGGGATTTAACCTCGGAATTTCACCTTATGTTTTAGTATGACTTTATAAAGAATTTCCACCTTTGCTCTGCTCACTCTGGCTTTTCATAGACACTTTAAGTAATCTGCCCAGAATCCCTCCAGGAATCCTTGCAGGTTTTGTTTTAACAAGCTCACAGTGGCTCTCCCTTAGCAGTTCACCGGAGTCTCCCTACGTCTGAATTAAAGCTTCTTTTACTAAGCTACAGGCTGAAGAGATAACACCAGACACAAAGAACAGGCATCAGGGGGTGTTTCTCAGCTAGTTTCCACCTTCTAACTTGTCTGTGTCTTTCTTTCTCTATGTATTTCTTGGTTGTTATTTTCTTTCTCATGTTCAAGGTTTTTATGTTCAAGACCCAGTTAGCCTTTTTTCTGTTGCTTAATTTAAGCTTCTGCTCTGTTTAGGAAGTTTAAGGAAGTTCTGTGTAAGGGAGTTGGTATTTATTATCTCTTTATTTTGTTCAAACCTGAATAGATTCATTACTATATGTTTTCCAATCCTACCGGCAGTCACCCAAACTACTTTTTTAAATGTTCACTAACAAACAATCAGGCATGGAAGTGTAAAGCTGCACATGTTTAATTCACACAAGTTATTAGCATTCATCACAATCATATGCATTTTGGTACTCCATATTTAAATACAGATAATTGTGAAAATGTAAAATTATAATGTATTATTATTATTTTTAATTTAACAGCTGTTATTTTCCACAGACTGTTGGTAGTGTAGCCATTATTATAAAGAAATGAAAAGAAAGCTTAAATTAAAATAACTTTATTTCATTGTTTAAAAAAAAAAGTAGCATTCTGTCACAGTCGGTAACAACATTAGGTTTAATGATTCCAATCTAAGGCTTCAGCAACATGCTTCTGAGTCTATTGCCACCCAATACCCCAGTTGCCCATCATTACAGTGACACCCTTTGCTGGTCTCAGCCCCAAATAGGTGGAATTGTCTGCATCAGTGAAGTAATGTGGGGTTTTAGTAACAGTCCCAGTCTAATTATGCACACGCTGCTGTGAAGCCCCCTTTTCTCTGCATACATGTATATCTTTGACCCTCACATTTGCATGTTTCATGCTGCAGATATCCTTTTAATGAAGGTCATAAGTGACATTTCTGCTCACTGACCCTGACCTTATGAACCCCACCTCTGCCCCCGCCATTCCTCTCCCCTTGAAGTGTTACTGGTGCTTGGCGTCTCTGCTCGTTGCCCAGGCAAAATCAGTTCCAAATGTCTGAACTCTATTTAGAGACAATGGTGCATGTCGGTGCAGAGAGGAAGAGGGGGAGGTTAGGGGGAGGAGAGAGGAGAGAGGGGGTGGCTGAAGATGGAGAGATAGCTTTAGAAAGATTGGAAGTCAGAGGTAAGAAGCTGCTAGGCTGAGGGCTAAAAGAGGGAGATTGGACATAGAGATAAGACAGAGCAGCAGGTACCAGTATCCATTAACACACACACACACACACACACACACGCACACATGCACACATTCTCACCCTGTTTGTTCATGTCACGACTTTCTGCCTATGCAGACATCCAGCTCTGGTAGAACTTGACCCCAAACTGTAACCATGACCAGTTGATGTCCAACTCTAACTCTGACACCAACCAGGTTTTAGTCCCTGTTAATAACTGCTGTGAACAAAAAAAGAGTTGGACTTACACACTCACATACACAGACACTGACATCTGTAATGCATGAACCAAATCCATGTACTGCCAGCAGGGAAGGAAGAAAGCACAGTGATACACAGCATATACCACCAGGACTAATGGAATAAAACAAGAAACCGGTCGGGTTTACGATTATTCAAATTCACACACACATGAACACACACATAGCAACTCACTGGTGTCTTCACAGCATGTTCCTGACACACCATAGTAAAACCAGGATTCCACCAGTCCCTGCTGCACAAGCAAATATTCAGGGGACATCACACTGTGAAGGACATTATTCACAGCTCACACTGCATGGGACACACATGGCTGCACCCACAGATACACGCACACACACTCGCAGATGCACTCTCACATACACATTAGACCCATAGCAGGTTAATGTCTATCTTTATTTCAATGATTCAGTCCATTAGCATCAGCGTCTGAGTTTAAATCTCACTCCTCTGTACATTATCATTACATTGTCGTCGGCCTTTATTTGAAACTAAGAACTGGCTCACAGAATGGAAGTCTGTCATTAGCTCAGCTGGAGATTTCTTTCATTACTCCGTTGACCACAGTTTGACCCTGTAGTAAGGTACAGTAAGGTACAGTGAGAAACACTTTCATTTCTAAAATGAAGACATATAGTAGCCAAAAAAAATCATTTAACAGTTTTTTTTCCCCAAAATGCCTTCGCTAATGTCCTTCTCTGTACCAGCTCTATTTGGCTGGGGCGTTACTTTAATGAAGTTGTTTTCCACTTTCTTTCATTCACTCATTCATCTCCTAGAACGTGTTGGTTTTTAAAGGGTGACGTTGGAGATCGAACCATCAACCTTCTTTCACTGTGATCCACAGTTCCAAAATATCTTTGATTTTAAACTTTGTCCAGAAAAATATGTTTTTTTTCCAGACAGAGCTGGAAATATCTGTCATAGAACGTGATGACATTCTGAATACTGACAATTTTTTAAAGCCATACAAACATATTTTCAGCATTAGGCTGGTTCCAGCCCGTGGTTCCACTGTGATGACAATCTTCCTTTGACGTCTTCCATCCTTATCTCGAAATCCCACTGGAGGTCCTTGTCTCCAAAACATGCCAGTGCATTTCTGAGAATACATCACTCAGAGGTTTTATTTGGAGCTGCTTGTTGAAAATGTATGGTCTAAGACAAATAACTGAGGTTGCTATTCTGCTGCTAAAACAATGAGTCAGGTTAAAATTCTCTGATCACAAACCAGCGTTTGTGTCTCGGATGTAACATAGTAACTTTTATTTTGTCCCTTATCTACTTACCTTTTTTATTGCACATAGTGTACAGTAGGTGTAGGTCTGTATGGAAGTGATTACTGCAGAGACTTCGCTCTGTGTTTGAAGGGTGAATTTACCAGTGGGGCTGAGAGAACACTCTAATGACAACACCTACTTTGTGACTGTAGCGAGTACCACTGTAACCTTCTTTTTTTTAAAGAAATATGTCTTCAGTGGTTTGTTCCTTGAACAGTTTTAATTACCAGATCTATTAAATAGAACTCCTAATTCTCTTAATTCCCCTGCTGTTGTTAACAGCCTATCCCAGCGCACGAAGGCTAATCTGTTAACCAGCAATTAAATGTTGAACTAAATTAGCAGCTTCGTCGAGCACAAGAGGAGGGCGTGACCTCACACTCTGTTGCTCTGCTGAGAAGAGCTAGTAAAGAACCGTGTCCACACCCTGCTGCTGATAACCAATCAGTTTAGGAGGCTGATGGTGACACATGACACACCCTGACTTGGTGACAACAGTCGTTAACAGTGTTCTGGTGAGTCATAAATATATATATATCACACGTATGTAGTCTGTACTGAACTTACAGCCCACATGTTTGTCAATAACCTTGTTCCATTGACGACTAATCCATTTTAAACACTGAAAGCTGTTTAAACCAGTCTAATGCCTGTCTGCAATTCACTCAATGCAATGATTGTTAAGACTCAAGTCTTCACACTGCCAGTCATGATATACATATTGGGTTAAACTGAGAAATATACAAAACTGAGATAGTACTCTGGGTCTCCCCAGGCCTGATGACAGTACTACTCCCCCAGCCCCCCCGCCCGCCCATCACCAAACCTTGAAAATGATGAAGTGAAGAGGAAATGAATTTCATCATATATTCCCATCATCTTCATATGGTTATTACATTCAAATCTTTTACATGTTTTTCAGTGTGACTGCTCGACAGAGGATGCTGTAAAACACTGTCTTTAGTAAAACTGTCGCAAATGTCATTTCTTTTATGACTGAGGAGCTGGTGATATCACAGCTTAAAAAGCAGCGTTGGAAATTGACTTATAGAGGAGACAAGAAGTTCAGTTGAGGGTCAAACATAAAGTCGTGTGCGTCTTCTTACTTCAATGTTAAACAGGTATTATTCTGTCGCCCTCGCATCACGTACAGAGCAATTATAAAATGACTTCTGGGCCGTGTGCTCACAGCGACCTCGCTTCAGGACAGATTGATGCAATGCTGTATCACCTGAGCAGATCAGATAACTTGTGTACAGCCCTGGGTGATGGCAGACGCGGTGTCTTTGTTAGTGTACTGTGTTCTGACAACGCCGCTCTTATACTGTAACTGTTACTTCTCATTAATATGTGAATGGCTGAGGACTGAGGTTATCAAACCTGGTCTAACCAAACATCTGAAGTGGTTCCACCTGCTGAAAAGGTCACAGGATTCAGAAGATAATTAGAGAAGTTGTTGTGGGCCGATGCCGTCTGTTGTTTTTTATCCACTTGTCCTGAAACAACAGTTATGTGGCTGAACGGGGAATAAGCAATCGTTTACAGTTAATCATTTCCTGGCAGTAGCCATATTCCTGCGTTCTGATGTGTCTGATTACATCTGACGAATGGGTCACTAACTTTACTGAACAAAAAGGGCATTTTGTTACTTAATATTTAGTTGGTTTTTTTTAAAACAAATGTGTCACTGTAATCTTAACTATTAACTGATTTCTTACCTTAAGTTTTATAAATAATTTAATTTAGCTACTTGTTTACTGACTTGTAAAGTTCTCCATAAATATATATATATTATATATATATATATATATATATATTTGGCCTTATTTTTAATTCTTTGGACTTTGACATATTTTATAATTGACATTTTTAAATCAATAAAAACGAACTAATGTTGACTTGCGCCAAATGTACTATTATTTTTTTCTACTTCATTTTCTCTGACTCCACTATTTATCTCTGTACTCCACAGTTCCTCCACAGTTCGTCAAGGAGCCATTACATCTTTATGCCCACGAGTCCATGGACATCATCTTTGAATGTGAGGTTTCAGGGTCGCCTGCTCCCACCGTCAAGTGGGTCAAGAACGGAGATGCTGTCATCCCCAGTGACTACTTTAAAATAGTGGTGAGTTTCTTTCACCTTTGTTTCTGCATAATTTCCATTATATTAATCAACAAGAGTGTCAACTCTTACTTTTTCTGTTCTTTTTTGTTCTGTAGAAGGATCACAACCTGCAGGTTCTGGGTCTCGTCAAGTCAGATGAGGGTTTTTACCAGTGTCTTGCGGAAAATGACGCAGGCAACATCCAGTCCAACGCCCAACTCATCATCTTAGATCACGGTATGCTACACTCCAACACCAACTATCATACCTAATTCTTAACCAATACTAATGCCAATTTCTTTTTCAAATTACTAAATGAATTGCAAACATTACTTTTAAATTAATGTAATTCAGTATAACATTTAAGCGAAATAGATCATCCTATCTGTTGCTTAGAAAAATGCACTCTCTCACACTTGATTTTTGAAAAGATGATATGAAAAAGAAAGCGCTTCTTCATGGACCACTCGCTTTTTTTCACCGCATCTGGTATGTGGCTGCATCTAAATGGATGTTAGAAGGTTAAGCAGATGTTTGTTAGGTGTATGGAAAGAGTACGACTGTGCGGTGAACCGTGAAATGAGCGCATTGGAATCTTGTTACACCAGATGTGACTCAAAGTAGAGGGGGTCTACCGTATAGCTAGAGCAAACAGCGCTTTGTTTGCACACAGTCCATTTCACAGCCACTTCTCCAGAAATGTTATGAGAGCCTGAATGAAACTTCCTGCGCTTTAACGCACTGGAATCTAAAGAGAAGAGATTCATCTACACCAGAGGCCGAACGCTCCTGAAGCACAGTTGAAAGTTTCCCCTGGATTTAAGGGAAATGGTTTCAAAGCAGATTCAACAATAACACGTGACTGAAAAATAACTCTTTAAAACTATGATAACGTGGTAGTTCTGCCTCATTACCTGTGACCATTAGAGTCAATGTAATATTACTTAGATTTGAAGTCATTTACAAAGTCATAATAATCACATTCAAGTCCACAGGGCCAAATGTAAAGCTTTCAGCAAAACAACAAAAAGAAGTAACAAGACATCTAATATAATAACACAATTTCACTGAACAATAAAAACACTGATGGAAATGAAGATGAGTTGATGCTTATGCAGCACAAACAGCATTTTTATGTCTGTAATTTGCAATTTCTCTGCGCTGCTGACTCAAACTCTGATGCGGAGGAAGATGGGAAATTGTAATCTGCGGCGATATCTGCCTCATTGGAAGCAGGTGGCTAATGCATGAGCATAACATTGCAGTGTTCAACCGGTGGTTCCACAGCTGCACCATAACTGTGTGAGTGTCTCTGAGTGAAATATTCTCCGTGAACACATTATGTACTGAAGTCAATGGCACAGTCTTGGTTTTCATTGAAAAAATAAAATTGGATTAACATAAGACACAATATAGCCAAGGCCTGACCTTTGCTATTAGAGGTCAAGACTATAATTCTACTGTTAGATATAATATAGTGTGTACTATAATTCCCTCCAAATTTACTGGGTAATAATATATTTTACAATATATTATTATTATTATTATTATTATTATTATTATTATTATTATTATTATTATTATTATTATTATAATAATATTTATTTTGGCCCTCATAGGCCCGTAGACCACAGTTTGAACCATTTCACCCATGTGACTAACTGTGACACACACACACACACACACACACACACACACACACACTGCCTTCTCTCTGATTTTTCAGTTTCCTCTTTGTTCATCACTTTATTACACGGTGAAGATTAAGGGAAAAACAACTGTATTACACTGTGACACAGTTTGTCCCTTTTGTAATTTATTGACGTTTTGTACTAAAACAGACACATCCACAACAGCCGGCTACACACGGGCGTCCAAGTAATTTCCTCCCTCAAGGTGCAATTTGCGACCGGCAATGGCAAATCAATGAGAACATGTTTGAAATCGGCTAATTTTCTACGGCTGTTGACGTTTTGTGTGAAGGCCTCGGTGATGAGGGCGTAAATTTAATGTATTTATCTCCAGTCCAAGAGTTATTCCTTTGTTGAAGCTCTCCAGTAGACCACGTGGACCAAGATTAGTTTAGGAAACTCACTGCTGGGGTTAGGAGTACATTTATATATTTGTGTCACCTGAGGAGTATGTTTTCATTAGTCATATGCATTAAAATCCTGTTTAGAGGAAGATATACAACAGTGCATGCCTGTGAACCTTATGATGTGTTTACATTGATCATTAGAGTGTCCATGGATAGCCTGGCAACCTCAGCCTTATTGAGGCTCGTAAATGTTCCATGGGTGTGTTTCTGCATACGTGCACATGTTTTTAAAACTGTCATGGGTTTTCCTGCTTCGCCTCTCATCTTTGAGGGACACCTGCTGTCTGTGACGATCCAGGGATTTTTGATTATTGCCCTGCTCGGAATTTTCCCATGCTTTGTCCACAGCTGGACAGCTTTGTCCACCTCACAAACATTCTCACCGCTCTTTGTTGCCACTGCTGCTTTACCTCACAGACAAGTGCTCTGCCCTCACACCCGCCAGGGTGGAATCCTCCTGAAAGCAGTCCAGGAAAACACACCATCTGTCTGTGTGTGTGTCTGTCGGCTGCCTTGCAGTCGGGCAGATAATCCAGGAACTTGCCTCAGGGATAAAGTTGTCTTCACCCAGCAGAGAAATCAATGGGAGTGAGCTACTTTCTAAACAGCCAACAGCTACACATTGGCTAATATTCATTAGTGGCCGTAATCTTTAAGTCTTGACGCTGCCAGCTGAGGTTAACTGTGGCTCCACTGATAATTCCCCACTTTGGGTTTTTTTTGGGAATGGAAACGGGTCAGCTGTCAGCACGTGTAGTATTTGTGTAGTTATTTAAAGTGATAGCCAGTCTGTATCAATACACCTTTGAACTCTAGTCTTTAACAACATTTTAATGTTCCAAAGGGATTCAAATGAATAACACAGTTGGATTCAGGTCCACTGTTTTGTTCTGTTATTTTTTACAGATAGAAAGAGGCACGAGTTAATGAGAAGTGCAGGTCAGAAATAGGACCTGAAATTCCAGTCTGGGACAATTTTCCTGGACATTCCACAGCCCTGTGCCGTTCACCAGTGCGTCAGCAAGTTGCTAACAGATGTGGGTAAACGAGAATACAATGCCAAGTGTGGTTTTCGGGGGGACATAAATATGCCATGTAGGACAGAATGCCTCTTGTAAAGCTGCCACACTCAGACTTGTCTTTTCTAGACGTTGGTGTCCTTGAGATCCAGTTTCTGACAGACAAAAACAGCTTCAAATCCTGTTTCCAGAGGATTTTTGAATACAGTAGAATTGTAATTTTATTCATATAAATATTTGGATTTGAACTCTCTGAAATATATATATGGCACAGTGCATATGTACTTTATATGTGTATATAGATACATATCTATACATTCACTGATCTATACATTCACTGATACAGCTGTTTGTCATTAGATACAGCATTTGATCTATTTTACATCATATTACCACAACGTCGAGGTTACCAATGATTAAAAACTGTTTAAAAACTGTTACCTTTGTAAAAAGAAGTTTAAAATGTGTGTGTGAAGCCATTGTAGTCAGTTCAGTGAGAAAACAGCCACGTTACTCGTGTGTTCGTCATCCTCATGTTTCCATATACTTTAAGACACACAGCCTGTGTTTGAAGTAGTTTGAGGTGGAAACCAAAACGTATATCCATTTTTCACCGTGCGGTTTCTTTGTGTCGTTGTGTCTGAACAAGGGCAGAGCTGAGAAAAAATATTTAGGTTTTGAAAAGCTGCCCTGGGTTCCTTTTTATAGGTGCAGAGCTGCTTACTGTATCAGTTAGAGTTTAGAAAGAAAACCAGTTTGCTTTTTAGTTTTCCTTGAAACAATCAAACAGCGGAGAAACTATTTATCACCCTTTTCAAAATACAACATGTTTGACATTCAAGCCTGTGGCAGCGTCATAAAAAAATACAGAGTTACACATGTAATTGGCAAATAAAAGAGAAGTAGGAGCACTCTGCTGTGTCTTTTTTGCCTTTTAAGGTTTGCATAAATTCCAGAAATGTTTTTCCATTTGCATGTGAATGTGTTTTCTAACTCCACACACCTCCATATGTCGTAATGCTAATGCAAAATGGAAATATTTCTCCAATGCTCTCTCTAAAAACTCACATAAATAATCTTTGGACTCTTTCTGCCTCCCTGTGCACAGGCCAAGTGTTTCAGTAGAAAGCCTGTTTGGATATGCTCTGTGTAAGCTCTCAGGTTGGTGAAAGGCACAGCTATAGCTCTTGGATTCCTTTTCTAGAAATAAATGCCATGACGTTGTCCAGGACTGTGTTGAATAAAACAAGAATCCATACATGAGTGACTTTGGTGCATGGAGCACAGCGATTGAGTGAATGGTTTGCAGCTTGTTTACTTGGATTTAAGAAACGTTCTTCAGTTTGAGGAGGTTTCTATCAGAAAATAATTAAAGCATTGAAGTCGTGCCATTAGAATATGCGTCTTCCTTTATGGTCTTGTTAAACAAAAGACAGCTCTATAATTAAACAAAAACACAAAAAAAAAATTGAAAAAAAACCCCACTAAATAATAATATCTCCTTTAAGGCAAAATAATTGAAACAGACATTAAATTAAACAAACTATCATTACTGCATTGATTTAAGCTGATTTTTACCTATTTTAATGAGTACATATAATTACTATATGTATATATATTTTTTTTTTATTTCTAAAAATTGTTAAACCCCTCTGTAGTGCCATCCAGTACCTCCAGGGGTGCTGTACGTGTACCCCTACTCGAGGACCTTGGCTCTGAACCATATCTGAAAGTGTTTCTTTGATCACATCTGTGGACACATTTATAAAATGTACGATGGAACATAAAGGTCATAGGGGTCACACAGCAGGACTACAGTTGTAAATGAGGTCAAAGTGTCAGATACTCAGGAGGGGGGGGGGGGGGGGGTGGGACTCAGAGAGCTGCCCACGAAGCATGACTTCATTAATGAATCTGTTAATTACAGCAGACCTGTGCAGAACCATCTCAGTGTGAAATGACCCAGAAACAAAGAGTCTCATACTGTGTGTGATTTGACAGTGATACATTAGCGCAGCGAGGAGAGGAACCAATGACTCTGCCTGACTGCAGTCAGGTGACTTCACAGCATACAGTAGATGGGTCTGAGGGTTTACCAACAAAACTTTAAAGCACATGAA